TTTTTTTGAGAATTATTTAGGAATTTTTTGGGCAATTTTTTGGGAATTCTGTGGGAATTCTTGGGGAATTATTTGGGAATTATTTGGGAATTTCCAAGGAATTATTGGGAATTCCTTGGGAATTCTTTGGGAATTCTTCAGGAAATTTTTGGGGATTTTGGGGAATTTTTTGGGATTTTTTTTGGGAATTCTTTGGGAAATTCCTTGGCATTTACTGGGAATTCTTGGGGGATTCTTTGGGAATTCTGTGGGAATTCTTCAGGAAATCTTTGGGAATTTTTTTGAGAATTATTTGGGAATTTTTTTGGGAATTCCTTGGGAATTCCCTGGAAATTCCTGGGAATTCTTGGGGAATTTTTTGGGAATTTTTTTGGGAATTCTTGGGGATTTTTTTGGGAATTCTGGGAATTCTCTGGGCCCGGGGTGGGGGAGGGGCGCCTTCCCAAGGATTTCAGGGAATTGCCGGGAAAGGAAAATTCGCAGCCAGTTCATGAATATTAATGAGATATTTATTAATATTAACGAGAGGTTAATGAATATTAATTAGTGATCAGGAAAGAAATCGGGTTTTAATTATTAATTCTTGATTATTCCATGAAAACTTTTGGGATTCTCCCGGGAAAAGCCGGGAATGGGCTCGGGGAGCCGATCCAAGCCCAAATCCGGCAGAAAATTCCCAGAAAAAAAAAAAAAATCCCGGAATTTTTCCGAGGTTTCCAGGTGGGAAACGGAAATTCCCAAAGGGAAAAAATTCCTAAAAGGGGGAAAATTCCTAAAAAAGGGAAAAATTCCTAAAGGGAAAAATTCCAAAGGGAAAATTCCCAAAAAGGGGAAAATTCCTAAAGGGAAAAATTCCAAAGGGGGAAATTCCTAAAAAGGGGGAAATTCCTAAAAAGGGGGAAAATTCCAAAGGAAATTCCAAAGGGAAAAAATTCCCAAAGGGGAAAAAATTCCCAAAGGGGAAAATTCCTAAAAAGGGGAAAATTCCAAAGGGGAAAATTCCCAAAAAAGGTGGAAAATTCCAAAGAGGGAAAATTTCAAAGGGGAAAATTCCAAAGAGGGAAAATTCCAGAGGGAAAAATTCCCAAAAAGGGGAAAATTCCAAAGGGAAAAATTCCCAAAGGAAATTCCAAAGGGGGAAATTCCCGCTCAAAGCTTGGAATTCCCGGGAAAAGGAGGATCCGGGGGGAGCTGCTCCAGCCATTCCAGAAGGATCCGGTTCACCTCGGCCGGCCTGCGGAGAGAGAGGGGCGGAATTCCGGGAATTCCTGGGAATGGGGGAGCCGGAATTCCGGGAATTCCTGGGAATGGGGAACTGGGATTCCCGGGAATTCCTGGGAATGGGGGAGCCGGAATTCCGGGAATTCCTGGGAATGGGGAATCCAGAATTCCATGAATTCCTGGGAATGGGGAATCCAGGAATTCCAGGAATTCCTGGGAATGGGGAATCCGGAATTCCTGGGAATTCCTGGGAATTCCTGGGAATGGGAATCCAGAATTCCGGGAATTCCTGGGAATGGGGGAGCCAGAATTCCGCGAATTCCTGGGAATGGGGAACTGGGATTCCCGGGAATTCCTGGGAATGGGGAGCCAGAATTCTGGGAATTCCTGGGAATGGGGAATCCAGGAATTCCAGGAATTCCTGGGAATGGGGAATCCAGAATTCCGGGAATTCCTGGGAATGGGGAATCCAGGAATTCCAGGAATTCCTGGGAATGGGGAATCCAGGAATTCTGGGAATGGGGAATCCAGAATTCCGGGAATTCCTGGGAATGGGGAGCCGGAATTCTGGGAATTCCTGGGAATGGGGAATCCAGAATTCCTGGGAATTCCTGGGAATGGGAATCCAGAATTCCGGGAATTCCTGGGAATGGGAAACTGGAATTCCTGGGAATTCCTGGGAATGGGGAGTCAGAATTCCGGGAATTCCTGGGAATGGGGAATCCAGGAATTCCGGGAATTCCTGGGAATGGGGAGCTGGAATTCCTGGGAATTCCTGGGAATGGGGAATCCAGAATTCTGGGAATTCCTGGGAATGGGGAGCTGGAATTCTCGGGAATGGGGCGGAGATTTCGATTTTTAGGGGGGGAATGGGGGAGCCAGAATTCTCGGGAATTCTCAGGAATGGGGAGCTGTGATTCCGGGAATTCTCGGGAAGGGGGAGCTGGGATTCCTGGGAATTCCTGGGAATGGGGAGCCGGGATTCCCAGAATTCCTGGGAATGTGGGAACTGAAATTCTTGGGAATGGGGAGCTGGAATTCTCGGGAGTTCTCAGGAATAGGGAGCTGGAATTCCTGGAATTCCTGGGAATGTGGGAACTGGAATTCCTTGGAATGGGGAGCCGAGATTCCTGGGAATTCCTGGGAATGTGGAATCCAGAATTCCGGGAATTCCTGGGAATGGGGAGCTGGGATTCTTGGGAATTCCTGGGAATGAGGGAGATCCCGATTTTTAGGGGGGGGGGATGTGGGAGCTGGAATTCCAGGGAATTCTCAGGAAAGGGGAGCTGGAATTCCGAGGAAAGGGTGGGAAATTCCCGGTTTTTAGGAGGGAATGTGGGAGCTGGAATTCCCAGGAATGTGGAATCCAGAATTCCTGGGAAAGGAGGAGCTGGAATTCCCGGGAATGGGAGGAGATCCCGATTTTCAGGGGGGAATGCGGGATCCAGAATTCCCGGGAATACGGAACCCAAAATTCCCGGGAAATGCAGAACCCAGAATTCCCAGGAAATTGGGATCTGGAATTCCTGGAATATGGAACCCGGAATTCCCGGGAAATGCTGAACCTGGAATTCCCAGGAATACGGAATTCTGGGGAATTTGGGATCGGGAATTCCTGGGAATGCGGAGCCCGGAATTCCCAGGAAATTGGGAGCTGGAATTCCAGGGAATTCCAGGGAATGTGGGAACCGGAATTCCTGGAATTCCTGGGAATGTGGAATCCATAATTCCTGGGAATGGGGAGCCAGAATTCCTGGGAATGGGGGGAGATCCCAATTTTTAGGGGGGAATGGGGGAGCCGGAATTCCTGGGAATTCCTGGGAATGGGGAGCTGGAAATCCCAGAATTCCTGGGAATGGGGAATCCAGAATTCCGGGAATTCCTGGGAATGGGGAGCCGGAATTCCCGGGAATTCCTGGGAATGGGGAACCGGAATTCCTGGGAATTCCTGGGAATGGGGAACCGGAATTCCTGGGAATTCCTGGGAATGGGGAGGCGGAATTCCCGGGAATTCCTGGGAATGGGGAATTCCCACCTCTCCAGCTGGGTCCAGTGGCCGCAGTCCTGGATGTGCCTCCGCTGCAGCCGCGGCACCTGCAATCCATCGGGAATCCATCGGGAATCCCAGGAATCCATCGGGAATCCATCGGGAATCCACCGGGAATCCATTGGGAATCCCGGGAATCCACCGGGAATCCATCAGGAATCCATCGGGAATCCACCGGGAATCCATCGGGAATCCATCGGGAATCCCGGGAATCCATCGGGAATCCATCGGGAATCCATCGGGAATCCATCGGGAATCCACCGGGAATCCATCGGGAATCCATCGGGAATCCACGGGAATCCATCGGGAATCCATCGGGAATCCATCGGGAATCCATCGGGAATCCATCAGGAATCCCAGGAATCCATCGGGAATCCCGGGAATCCATCGGGAATCCATCGGGAATCCATCGGGAATCCATCGGGAATCCCGGGAATCCATCGGGAATCCATCGGGAATCCATCGGGAATCCATCAGGAATCCCAGGAATCCATCGGGAATCCCGGGAATCCCGGGAATCCATCGGGAATCCACCGGGAATCCAGCGCTCCCCAGAATTCCCGGATTTTTCCCAGATTTTTTTTTCCCGGATTTTTTTTTTCCCAGATTTTTTTCCCCAGATTTATTTCCCAGAATTCCCAGATTTATTTCCCAGATTTTCCCCCGAACTCCCAAATTTTCCTCAGATTTTTCCCAGAATTCCCAGATTTTTCCCAGAATTCCCGGATTTTTTTTTCCCTGAACTCCCAATTTTTCCTCTGATTTTTCCCAGATTTTTTTCCCAGATTTTTTCCCAGATTTCCCCCAGAATTCCCAGATTTTTCCCGGATCTTCCCTGAGTTCCCAAATTTTTCCCAGATTTCTCGCAGATTTTTTCCCAGATTTTTTCCCCAATTTTCCCAGGTTTTTCCCAGATTTTTTCCCCAGATTATTTTCCCAGACTTTCCCAGAATTCCCAGATTTCCCCCGGATTTTCTAAGAATTCCCAGATTTTTCCCAGAACTCCACGATTTTTCCCAGATTTCCTGGTTTTTCCCCAGATTTCCCCAGAATTCCCAGATTTTCCCCCAAACTCCCAGATTTTTCCCAGATTTTTCTCAGAATTCCCAGGTTTCTTCCCCAATTTTCCCAGAATTCCCATTTTTTTCCCCCTAAAATCTCAATTTTTTCCCAGATTTTTTTCCTGGATTTTTTTGCCCAGATTTCCCCCGAATTCCCAAATTTTTTCCCAGATTTCTCCCAGATTCTCCCAGATTATTTTCCCAGAATTCCCAGATTTTTCCCAGTTTTTCTGTTTTTTCCCAGATTTGTTCCAAATTTCCCCAGAATTCCCAGATTTCCCCCAGAACTCCCAGATTTTTTCCCAGATTTTTCTCAGAATTCCCAGATTTTTTCCCTGTTTTTCCCAGAATTCCCATTTTTTTTCCCCCTAAAATCTCAAATTTTTCCCAGATATTTTCCTGGATTTTTTTCCCCAGATTTATTCCCAGATTTTTTTTCCCAGATTTTTCTCAGAATTCCCAGATTTGTTCCCCAATTTTCCCAGAATGCCCTTTTTTTTTTTCCCCAGAATTCCCAAATTTTTCCCAGATTTCTCCCAGATTCTCCCAGATTTTTTCCCCAATTATCCCAGATTTTCCCAGAATTCCCAGATTTTTTTTCCCAGATTTGTTCCCAATTTTCCCAGAATTCCCAGATTTCCCCCCAAACTCCCAGATTTTCCCCCGATTTTCTAGGAATTCCCAGAACCCCATGACTTTTCCCAGAATTCCTGGATTTTCCCCAGATTTCCCCAGAATTCCCAGATTTTTTTCTCGGCATTTTTCCCCAGACGTTTCCCCCCACCCAGAATTCCCAGATTTTTTTCTCGGCATTTTTCCCCAGACGTTTCCCCCCAGAATTCCCATTTTCCCCCTGGAATTCCCATTTTGTCCCACAATTCCCATTTTTTTCCCCCAAGATTTCTCATTTTCCCCCCTAAATTCCCATTTCCCCCCCCAGAATTCCCATCTTTCCCCTCCCAGAATTCCCATTTTCCCCCCAGAATTCCCATTTTTCCTCCCAATTCCCCTTTCTCCCCTTGGAATTCCCGGATTTCCCTCCAGAATTCCCATTTTTCCCCTGGAATTCCCATTTTGTCCCACAATTCCCATTTTTTTCCCCCAAGATTTCTCATTTTCCC